CTTCTAGCACCCCACTCTCCCTGCTTTCTTCCCCCACCCCCAATGCTGCTGCTATCCTGTGGTCCTCTCTCAAAGGTTAAACCCAAAAGGAAGTTAATTAATGGACTAGACTCTTTGAAAGGGAGTCTGAGGGTCTTGGTTCCCTCTTTCACTGTTTGGCCCAATGAGTTCCATCTGTTAGATGGCTTAAATTAACATCTCTAGGAAGTACAGGTTGTCACTGAAACACGTGTTCAATCCTTCACCTACGGTTTTGTTAAACAACATTAATGCCCTTGATTCTAAATAATACAGACGAGCAGGTAATAAACTGCTTCAGTGCCTTGTGTGGCTGGGGAGGCATCAACATTTAGAGATCTTCCATAGAATGTGGTTCCCCAAAGCCATGGCAAGAGAGATAAAACGACAGTAAAGGGAGGTCATCGGCTCTGGAGCTGGCCCTGGACTCGGGACCCCACTCTACTACTTACTGGGCAAGCGTCTCTGAGCCTTAGTGTCCTTCCCTGTAAAATGGGGATAATGACAGTGACTACCTCACAGAGATGCTGTGAGGATTACATGAGATGATGCGAGTGATGTGCTTAGCACAATAACCAGCACATACATAATTAGCATGCAATAACTGTTAGCTACTCTGGCAGGCATGGCTAGTTATGTACAAATACCTCCCCCCTCTCTCAAATTAAAAGAATCCTCCATTTTTAACTGGTTAGCAACAAGCTGGCCAGCTAAAAGACTTCCTTGTGGAACCATGTTCTAAGTTCCGGCTAATGAGACGTGTGTGCAAGTGTTATATGGGGCTTTCATTAAGTCTCCTTAAGAGACAGGGGGCCTGCCCTTCTTCCTTTTTTCCATTCTGCTGGAGTCTCCTTTCTCCATTTCAGGAATGCAGATATAATGGCTGGAGCTCTAGCAACTGTCTTGAACTATAAGGACAAAAGTTACAATTGTGTTTCTCTGAAGAGTGGATTAGGAGGATCCTGATTCTTGGACAGCTTTGTGTAACCTCTATACCAGCCCTGGGCTGCCAACCTCTGGACTTCTTTAATATGAGACAGATTATTTACTTTTATTTTGTTTATGCCATTATTTTGTGTACCTCTGTTATTCAAGGCCACAATAATCCTAACTGCTTTGGCAGGCCTCTGTGATGGTCTAAGAATCCAAATGGAGGCTCGAAACCATTTTCACGCCTTGTTTCTGCAAATAAAGGCAAGATTGAGGCAAAAACATAGAAAAGGAGACCCATGTCTTCAAAGCCTTTCCTCGCCTTCCAGAAGACACTCTGTTGTCACCATCCTCTCTGCCCTGCTCAGAAGCCCAGGCCTTCATGACTGATGCACACACCTGTGCTCAAAGGATGTGATACAACTCAGTTCACTCTGGGTATCAATGATCACAAGGCGTCTCCTTCTATTCTCCTTCCTGGGCGTTTGCATTTTATTTAGGACAAAGCCTTCTGATAGAATTTTTGGAATAATCAACAGGCCCGTGGGAGAAATATTTTTGGGTGAGGAATCCACACATAAGGCTGCTGCCCACCACTAAGGCTGGCTGTAATTTAATATAAAGCACTCCACGGGCATAAGGAAGTTAATGTACTCCTCAAAATGTTCACCTGCAAGTCCCAAGGAGTATCAAGGACTGAAAGAAAGAGAGGAGTGAATATCTGTCAGAAAAGGTAATTCCCTCAATTCCTCAATTTCCCGAGGCCACATATTTTATACCTGTTTCTTCAGCAATCATTGTTACATCACCAGTTGTACAAAATTCTGTGCATGACGCAACTCAGAAGGCTATTTGTTCACGACAAGGCAGTGGGTGAATAAGGAACCTAAACCACACCCCCAACTCCTGGTCACTGTTCAAACACTCCTCACCTTTTCTCTTTCCAAATGTAAACTGAGTATGTATAATGGATAGATTTCATTGGAACAAGGCAGAATTTGTGTATCTGAATTTAAAGTGCAGGAGAGACCAAACATTATCTTCTTTTAGTCAAGTGTGTATGGGTGTGTGTAATCTGAAGGTCTTTCCCCACAGAACACAACCTCTGACCTCAGCCAAGCATGCTCTCTGGTTAAAGTAAATTTTTTCCCAAGAGCTCAAAGTGATCTACAGACTACCTAATTAAAACCTCATTGCTCACCTTCTCTATTCCTTAATTCTTCAACTGAGTCTGAGCAGTTAGATGACTTTGACAGGGTCATTCAATTCTGCTGGCCTTTTCTAGAACTCGACTCCCTCAGGCTTTCAGACTGATACTGATGAGAGTTTTAAGGGGGTGTCAGCTTACTTGATTCAACTATAGAGTCTGCTAAATGTCTAAGTCCACTTAGGCTGAATCCAGGAGAAATTTCACTATACACACCCCTCACTGAGATAAAATTTTCATGACATTCTACTGACTTTTCTGGTATTTAGTGACCAGGTTTATCTTTGCCACAGTTGCTTTGACCAGTACTACTAGTTCCAGCCCATAACCGACAGGCTCTCATCTATGATGCCATGACAACCAGCAGATTTATTTTTTAAAGTATTAGAGATTGACTTATGTTTTTAAGTAAAACAATGCCCAAGCAAAGGGAACCACAAGGAAAGTGCCACGAAGCCCTCATCTTAACATAGTTCAATGGAAGATGACAAGGAATTTCTTCTTTAGAACTCTCAGAGGCACAATAATCACTTGACTTTTAAATTCTAAATCTAGGATTTCTAGAAATGGTTGATACTTCAGGTTATCAGAAATGAACAAATCACACAAAGCATGGGCTAATAAATGGCCTTTATCATCAAAAACCCAACTTCGTTCAGAGTTTTTTATATGGCTATGACCTTATGAAGCTTAGGCATATAAAGTCAAATGTTTCTGAAGGAGGAACTAACACAGAGAAACTGTCCATTCAATTCATAAGTACACGTGCACTTGTGAAATACAGATTTATCACAAATGTACAAAAAAACTAGAAAGTAAATTTTAAAAGAACATCACTCATTTCATAAAAGTTTAAAACTACAGGTTCTTTTAATTAGCAAGTATCAATGGAGCATTAAAAACAATTAAATCACAGACGCATTTACACATACGGCTTTTTTTTTGTTTTTTTTGTGAGGAAGATCAGCCCTGAGCTAATATCCATGCTAATCCTCCTCTTTTTGCTGAGGAAGAGGGGCTCTGAGCTAACATCTATTGCCAATCCTCCTCCTTTTTTTCCCCAAAGCCCCAGTAGATAGTTGTATGTCATAGTTGCACATCCTTCTACTTGCTGTATGTGGGATGCGGTCTCAGCACGGCTGGAGAAGCGGTGCGACGGTGCGCACCCGGGATGCGAACCCAGGCCGCCAGTAGCGGAGCGCGCGCACTTAACCACTAAGCCACAGGGCCAGCCCCTACACATACGGCTTTTTAGAAACAAATAGAATTTGTAAACCAAGAAACATATTTTAATAATAAGTTTCAGGTTTAATTTGTCTGTAAAGAAAAATTCAAATAATCTTGTGCAATGAAAATGCAAATATCTGTAGTTAGAACAAATTAATATTACTCATTTCTCACTATGTTATTCTCTCTTATAAAATAAAAACTCATCAACTTCCTCCAAAAGGAATTTGTATTTAATATGGTCATTAAGTGTCAAAAAAAATTTACATAGGCATATGACTAATTCCAACTTGCAACCTCATTGGTTTTGTTTTTTTTAAATAGGATAGTTTTAAATTATTTAATTTTTTATGATTATACGCAGTAACCTGAATAAAATTTGAATTCAGAGAAGGAAATTATTGCCAAGAAGGAAAAACAGATACCCAGCCCCAAAATAATTTTAATATAGTAAGTCATTAACCAAACAATTTAACTGAAATGGAAAAAAAAAAAAGAAATTAAAGTACCGCAATAAAGCAACTAAAAATTGCTCAAATCTTAGAATGGCTAATTTAAGAATCATAACAACTTAAAACAAAATATTCTGGAATTCAATATATGTACAGATCGCACATAATCTAACCAGTTAAAAACATGTCTTACTGGGCTACCTATACTCTACTTACTTAAAGCGTGCTAGCTCCATATACGTACATATTTACTTGAATCCAGTCTCCCCAAATTGGGAGGGAGTGGCTGAGGAATATAGCGGTGTGCATCTATCCACTTGGTTCCACATTTCAACCAGACAAGCATTCATCAACCCCCTCGCTTGGAGTGAGTTCTAATATGAGCAGTGTTCCTGCAAACCAGAATTCTAAACCAGAGATTCTTGCAAAAGAAGAAAGATTATGTGCTTACCGTATAAAGCTCATTAAGAACCTTCATTAAATCCTCATGAAGTTGGAATGCAATCTCTTTGCTCTGTAATTAAGAAGAAATTAAGAGAGAATATTTATAAATGTAATAGAAACTTGTTTCTAAATTATTTACATCATAAAAAGTCCACTGACTGAAAATAGAATGTACATAACACAACGGAAGGCCAGCATGGCTCTGATAAAATAAACATCTTCGACCAAATGGCCCTTTCTAAATCCTAGATGTGTGCACTAACGGTCACCACAGGCTGAACAGAGGCAAACAAGTAGACAGTCTGAATGGCTCTCCCATCATCCAAATCAGACTTTATGAAGAAGAGAGAGAAAAAGGAAGCAGGGTGAAGCATCGTGCTTGCTCAGAAGCTGAGCTGCAGAACTAAAGTCATTAAAAGATGAATTCCAGCATCCTGTCTTCCCATCTCGGCATTATCACAAAGGAATTTTGCACTGTGATTCTCAAAAGGCTAAGTCAGAAACCCAAAGGGAAATTAACTCTCTCTTTCCAAAATAACTATTCGACTGACTATAATATTAATTTTAAGAAAGCACTTTCAAAACAGTGAGATGGTAAGGCCACTTATGGTCCACAGACTTTTGCCTCTGCATTTATTATTAGTATTCTTATCATCAAGACAAAAAAGAGAGTTTCAGGCTTCCACCCAGTTTAAATACCAGCATTTGAAATATTCTTCCCTAGGCTAATTCTGAGAGTTTGATAGAGGAGTATTTGAATATTTTTTTCAGCAAAATCTGTAAGCTATTTTAAAGGAAATCATATATCCAAATTTCCTTTTCTTTTCTGTTTGGAGTTCATTATGTAGTCAGCTGCAGAGAATGCAGAAAAGTGTAAGGCGGTTTCATTTAGAGTTTGAGACAATAACAACAACATCCACTGGCTCATTTACGTGTCCCACTGAACTGTCAGTATTGGGTGTAGGGGCCATGTCTTTATCGGCTCTGTGCCCCCAGTGTCCTGCACGGTGCTTGGGCATAATAAGGCCAGGACCAGGGTGAGCAAGCGAGGCACCCAAGGTGCAGAATTTAAGGAGGCCCTCGTGCTCACCCTAGTCCAGGTCCTCCTGGGGCACATAGGAAGCTTCCAATAAACACCCGCTAACTGAATCTGTACACAAGCTGAAATCCTGTGTTTGTGTCCTAGCTGAAGTAGTTACCGCATTTGCTGAAGGCTGGCCACTGGTGAGAAGGCAGAAAAGAAAAGCCCCTAAAGAAAATACTAGGACCTGGATGAAATGGAGTCCACCTGCAAACACAAGGTCTCCGGGTCAGGCCTCCCTCAAAAAAGGCCAAAAGTGATGAAGCAAAGATTCATGGAAGAGAAAATAGTGTGTGAAGATGACATCCGAGCAGTACCTGAACTTAGAGAAATTCAAATTCGTTAGCAGCATTTGTCACTGTGTTTTCTTGGCGTAATAAAGAGGGCTGCTGTTGATCAAGCTCTGATGGCTTCTAAAATCTCCAAATTGGAGTTTGAGATTTTATGCTTTGCTGTGTCCCTGCCATGTGAAGAAGGGGGTTAGGAATCACTCCCGGGTGAAAGGGAGTCACAAGTGAGCAAATGAAGCCAATTGAAACACATTTTATGTTTTCTAACTCTTGGTTATTCTGACCGAGTACATTACACTGCAATCTCCTATGACTTCAGCGTGGTGTTATTTTAATATCAGATTTCATTCAAGGATCCGGGCCACCAATTCAGAACTCTCTAATGGGATCAAAGGCCGCCAAGCCTTTCTCGCTACATTTCAGGTAGCGAGTCCAAAAAGAAAATATTTCTTGGCTAAGACTTTAGAATAATAACAAAAAAAATCCCTTAGGTCCAATTAGCCCCAAGCCAAGAATATTTAGGATCAGATTAAAGACTTAGGTTTGGGGTGACAAGGGTCCTCCAAGCTATCCTAGGTCAAATATCTTAGAACAAGCATGAAGGTTCTTTGTATACTTAATATTTTACAAGATTTCAGGTAATCAAGTAGAGGAAATCTGGCACCACAGACAAACCGTGCTCTGCCAAGCATACTCTTAACATTTTTCTTTCACCTTTTCCCAGAGGCCCTGAACTAAAAAAGATCTGTCTGAGATGCAGTAGAGCATAAGGCTCAAAAGCAAGGACTCTGAAATCAGAAAGCCTGAGTCTGAAGTCTCCAAGACACTGGATTCTCTTGTGCCTCAGTTTCCAGATCTGTAAAATAAGTATAGTCATTGTACCCATCTCATGGGGTTGATGAGACCACTAATCAGATGACACATACATAGCACCTAGAACGGCACCTAACACACAGTAAACATCACATAAGTGTTATAAGTCTTTAATTCTTTCCCGGACACTATTTGTAGTGACAATTCCCTTGAGTGAAAAGGCCACGTTGTATTTTTCTTTCTTTTGGTTTCTAAGGACGCTTATTCCATTGACTTCCATGTAGGAAGTGCTTGGCAGATACTGGTTGATTTGATTTTGATGTCCCTCCCCATTGCCTGGCCTTTATCTCCCTCCAGGTGACCCCTGATTTGGGAGGGGCCAAGTACTGTGTTCCAGCCCCTGGGCTTTTCTGACATTCATACTCCCTTGTCATACATGGACACTAAACTTGCCTATGTTCCATTTTCATGGGGGTCCTACTCCTAGTAGTACTGGATGAATTAAACACCCACTAGGAAATGGACAATTCCTCAAGCCAACATGATAAGATATATATAACTCATGAAAGAGGGCCTTAGAAGCCAGGTTCCCATGGGAATTTTGGGTTTTGTGAGAAGTTGGTGGGGAGTTCCTTTCATAGGTACCCCCAGCTATCCTTGTGACACACCACCAGGTTTCTGCCTATCTGCCACTTTGAATCACAGTCCAAACCCTCCACGGTCTAGTAAATAACCTTGAAATTAACCACTTTCTTCCCATCACCACTCCTTTAGTCTGCAAAGGTTGTTCAAGAACCAGACTGTGCTCTGAAGCACTAGTTCATGCGACTAATATGCGAAGCATGAATTTGCACACCCTTGTAATTCACAGACACTTGGGCCGGACCAAACATCAGGTCCTAGTCTGAGTGCTGGGGGCACGGGCCCTACGCTCACGGCATGGAGACAATGAAAGGATAGCCTCATGCTACCCTCCACCCCAACTTGAAACACGTCTCCAATTTATTTGAACAACAGCGAAAAACAATCCTTTCTTCTAAATACTACTCTGGATCCCGAAAGAAGCAATCTTAAACCAAAACACACCTGCTGTGGCACACAGTTACTATGCTGGCACACTAGACTAATGAACTGAAACCCTTTAATTGGAAAATATCTGGATTATCAAAAGTGCATCAAAATTCAATAGGTTAAATATACCCCTGGATTCTGTTTCATTAAAAATTTGAAAACAGTGAGAGCAGACCTTTGACCCTTGAACAAGAACTGCTAAGTAAGAAAAATGATACCAGTATTAAGGAAAGCAATCAATGTTCCCTTTGTACAAGAGAAAAAAATAACTTTAAAAAATGATATATGTTTGAAATAAAGTATTTTCCACGTTATTTGAGATCGGCTGATTAAAATTACTTTTGCACAGAGAAGGAGCGTCCCCTCAACTGCTTCAGGTATGGAGTTGGAAAAGGAAAGATGTTTTTTTTCCTCATTAATATGAGCCTGTATAAGTTCAAATGATGGTAAAACTTCTAATACATTGCAATAGGATTCTGGGACACTGACCCAAAAGGAAGAAAATGGTTAGAACTTCAATTCAGTTGACATTTATTGAATGTCTCCAATATGTAAACCCAGAAGTGGAATACCAAGCCTATTTTCTAATTGTTTATTATTTATTGTGACTTTGATGTTTCAGATACTTCAAACATAAGTCTAAAATTAATGGTCCCAAAGTTTTTACCTTTTTCCATTATAAAAACAAATTAAGTATACCAACCATTGGAAACATAGAGAACAGAAGGACAAAACCACCACCATTATAATTTGATGTATTTCCTTCAAGTTTGTTTATCTAAACATAAGTCTGAGCTGTAATCATTCCATAATAATAAAGTATCTTTTTCAATTCTGCTTTTTTTCAGTTACCATAAATTTTTCCATGTATTTATATAATTTTCAGAACCATCATTATTAATGGATTCATAATAAGTACCCAGTGAATGTATATTAACTATTCTCCTATTATGTTTTCCAATGTTTCGACTATTTTCCACCAATCATTCAATCATTTATTTACTTACTCAATTTCTCTAATATGTTTTAAGCACTCTGAACTATTATCACAAATGCTGGTCTAAAGGCATATCTTGCATTTTATGTTGTTTTCTTTTCTCTTTTTTTTTTTTTTGTGAGGAAGATCAGCCCTGAGCTAACATCCATGCCAATCTTCCTCTTTTTTGCTGAGGAAGACCAGCTCTGAGCTAACATCTATTGCCAATCCTCCTCCTTTTTTTCCCCTTTTTCTCCCCAAAGCCCCAGTAGATAGTTGTATGTCATAGCTGCACATCCTTCTAGTTGCTGTATGTGGGACGCTGCCTCAGCATGGCCGAAGCAGTGCGTTGGTGCGTGCCTGGGGTCCAAACCTGGGCCGCCAGTAGCGGAGCGCGCGCACTTAACTGCTGTGCCACGGGGCCGGCCCCTATGTTGTTTTCTTAAGATCAATTCCTAGACATAAAATTACTAGGATAAAAGTATTGACATTTTTAAGACCCCCTGATACCTATTGGAAGATTATTTTCTAAAAGGGTTCTAATGAATTTATATTGCTTCCAGGACAAAAGGGTCTCTCAAGTTGAATCTGGGGTTCATCCAAGACTTGCTTCTTTTTTTTGAAGGCAAAGTCACCAATCCTATCTATTCTGGCTGATCCAATTTTCTGTATGTCATTAGAATTTTTTAAAAAAAATAAAGATCTAATTATGTCCTTCCTCTGATTAAAACCCTTCAAAGGCTTGCTGTATTTTTTTAGGATAGAGTTCAAATTTCTTAGATCATCCATAACTTCCCCTGTCTGATTAGTCTACTGCACCTTCCACAAATCTCAAACTA